TCTAGTGCAGGTCTAGTGCAGGTCTAGTGCAGGTCTAGTCCAGGTCTAGTCCAGGTCTAGTCCAGGTCTAGTCCAGTCCAGGTCTAGTGTCCAGGTCCAGGTCTAGTCCAGGTCTAGGTCTAGTCCAGGTCTAGTGCAGGTCTAGTGCAGGTCTAGTCCAGGTCTAGGTGCAGGTCTAGTCTAGTGCAGGTCCAGTCTCAGGTCTAACAGGTCTAGTGCAGGTCTAGCAGGTCTAAGGTCTAGTCCAGGTCTAGTCAGGTCTAGTGCAGGTCTAGTGCAGGTCTAGTAGGTCTAGTCCAGGTCTAGTCCAGGTCTAGTGCAGTCTAGTCCAGTCCAGGTCTAGGTGCAGGTCTAGTCCAGGTCTAGTGCAGGTCTAGTCCAGGTCTAGGTCCAGGTCTAGTCCAGGTCTAGTGCAGGTCTAGTCCAGGTCTAGTCCAGGTCTAGTCCAGGTCTACAGGTCTAGTCCAGGTCGTCCAGGTCTAGCAGGTCTAGTCCAGGTCTAGTGCAGGTCTAGTAGCAGGTCTAGTGTCAGCAGGTCTAGTCCAGGTCTAGTCCAGGTCTAGTCCAGGTCTAGTGCAGGTCTAGTGCAGGTCTGTCCAGGTCTAGTGCAGGTCTAGTCCAGGTCTCCAGGTCTAGGCAGGTCTAGTCCAGGTCTAGTGCAGGTCTAGTCCAGGTCTAGTCCAGGTCTAGTCAGTCAGTCTAGTAGTCTAGTCAGGTCTAGTCAGGTCTAGTCCAGGTCTAGTCCAGGTCTAGTGCAGGTCTAGTCCAGGTCTAGTGCAGGTCTAGTCTTGCAGGTTCTAGTCCAGGTCTCAGTCCAGGTCTAGTGCAGGTCTAGTCCAGGTCTAGTCCAGGTCTAGTCCAGGTCTAGTGCAGGTCTAGTCCAGGTCTAGTCCAGGCAGGTCTAGTCCAGGTCTAGTGCAGGTCTAGCAGGTCTAGTCCAGGTCTAGTCCAGGTCTAGTGCAGGTCTAGTCCAGGTCTAGTCCAGGTCTAGTCCAGGTCTAGTCCAGGTCTAGTCCAGGTCTAGTCCAGGTCTAGTCCAGGTCTAGTGCAGGTCTAGTGCAGGTCTAGTCCAGGTCTAGTGCAGGTCTAGTGCAGGTCTAGTCCAGGTCTAGTCCAGGTCTAGTCCAGGTCTAGTGCAGGTCTAGTGCAGGTCTAGTGCAGGTCTAGTCCAGGTCTAGTCCAGGTCTAGTCCAGGTCTAGTCCAGGTCCGGGTGTGTCGGGTTCTTGTGTTTTGGTTCTTTCAGTTTGTAAAAGTCACTGAAATGTCACGTCCTTCCTCCTCCTCAAACTCCAGCTGATAAACCAACTTATCCCTCCGACCCTCACCTGACCTCAGGAAATGTCCCGCACTGCTTTAACTCACAGGGAAATGTCCCACACTGGAGCTTTAACTCACAGGGAAATGTCCCACAGCTTTAACCACAGGGAAATGTCCACACTGGAGCTTTAACTCACAGGGAAATGTCCCACACTGGAGCTTTAACTCACAGGGAAATGTCCCACACTGGAGCTTTAACTCACAGGAAATGTCCACACTGGACTTTAACTCACAGGGAAATGTTCCACACTGGAGCTTTAACTCACAGGGAAATGTTCCACACTGGAGCTTTAACTCACAGGGAAATGTCCCACACTGGAGCTTTAACTCACAGGGAAATGTCCCGCACTGGAGCTTTAACTCACAGGGAAATGTCCCACACTGGAGCTTTAACTCACAGGGAAATGTCCCACACTGGAGCTTTAACTCACAGGAAATGTTCCACACTGCAGCTTTAACCCACAGGAAATGTCCCACACTGGAGCTTTAACTCACAGGGAAATGTCCCACACTGCAGCTTTAACTCACAGGGAAATGTTCCACACTGGAGCTTTAACTCACAGGGAAATGTTCCACACTGGAGCTTTAACTCACAGGGAAATGTCCCACACTGGAGCTTTAACTCACAGGGAAATGTCCCGCACTGGAGCTTTAACTCACAGGGAAATGTCCCACACTGGAGCTTTAACCTCACGTGTTCTGTTTGAGTGACAGTTTTTTCTTTCACGCTTCATCTGAGACGATCTGGGCCTGAGGCAGAATCACAACAAAACACCAACTTACAGATTCAGTCCTGGTCTAGTCCCCGGTCTAGTCCTCGGTCTAGTCCTCGGTCTAGTCCTCAGTCTAGTCCTCAGTCTAGTCCTCAGTCTAGTCCCTGGTTTAGTCCTCAGTCTAGTCCTCGTCTAGTCCTCGGTCTAGTCCCTGGTTTAGTCCTCGGTCTAGTCCTCGGTCTAGTCCTCGGTCTAGTCCTCAGTCTAGTCCTCGGTCTAGTCCCAGTTTGTCCCAGATTCTATCCATGATCTAGACCTGATTTAGTGCTTCATTTAGTCCTGGTTAAGTCCCTGTTTTAGTCCTTGGTTCAGTCCCAGTTCAGTTCTGGTTTAGACCTGGTTTAGACCTGATTTAGACCTGATTTAGTCTTGGTTTAGACCTGATTTAGACCTGATTTAGTCTTGGTTTAGACCCTGTTTTAGTCCTTGGTTCAGTCCCAGTTCAGTTCTGGTTTAGACTTGGTTTAGACCTGGTTTAGACCTGGTTTAGACCTGTTAGACCTGATTTAGACCTGATTTAGACCTGATTTAGACCTGATTTAGTCTTGGTTTAGACCCTGTTATAATTGTGGGATTTAGTCCTTGTTTAGTCTTAGTTTAGTCCTGTTTTAGACCTCGTTTTAGACCCCGTTTTAGTCCTGGTCCAAGTTAAAACACAGTTTAGTCTCCGTTTATTTTAGTCCTGGTTTAGTCCATGTTATGAAATCCTGGTTCAGACCTGGTTCAGACCTGGTTCAGTCCTGGTTTAGTCCTGGTTCAGTCCTGGTTCAGACCTGGTTCAGTCCTGGTTCAGACCTGGTTCAGACCTGGTTCAGTCCTGTTCAGTCCTGTTCAGTCCTGTTCAGTCCTGGTTCAGTCCTGGTTTCAGTCCTGGTTCAGACCTGGTTCAGACCTGTTCAGTCCTGGTTCAGTCCTGGTTCAGACCTGGTTCAGTCCTGGTTCAGACCTGGTTCAGACCTGGTTTTAGTCCTGGTTCAGTCCTGGTTCAGACCTGGTTCAGACCTGGTTCAGACCTGGTTTAGTTCTTGTTTGTGGAGCAGTAGGTCAGTAGTAATAATAATATTTGTTTGTGTAATAATTCTTCTGTTGCAAAAGAAAATGTATTTGTGGATGAGTTTTGTAAGAGGGAGCGGCCGGATCAGACCAGATCTGTCCAAGTATCTGTGGTGTTAGTAGTTGTAGTATAGTAGTAGTAGTAATCGTAGTAGTATCAGTAGTAGTATCACAGTAGTATCAGTAGTAGTATCACAGTAGTATCAGTAGTAGTATCACAGTAGTATCACAGTAGTATCACAGTAGTATCAGTAGTAGTATCACAGTAGTATCAGTAGTATTGCCTTCGTCCCGTGTACTTTTTTTGTGTAATTGTAGTTTGACACTGAGTCAGTTTGAGTTTGAGTCTAAAAGAGGAAAGTGGGACAGAAGAGTCCAACATTTAACTCTTTGTTCGGTTCAAACGTTTCAGATCCACAAGAGACTCGACTGTCCAAGAAACACCAGTCCAACAGCAGGGACGGGGTTAGACCGGGTTTAGACCGGGTTTAGACCGGGTTTAGACCATGTTGAGACACAGTTTATTCCCAGTTGAATCGGTGTTAAAATGGTTTAGTCCTGGTTTAGTCCCTGGTTTAGTCCCTGGTTTAGTCCCTGGTTTAGTCCCTGGTTTAGTCTTCGTTAAGTCCTCATTTTGTCCTCATTTAGTCTCTACTTTAGGCCCTTGTTCAGTCCTGGTTTAGTCCAGATTCAATCCCTGTTTTAGTCCTTGGTTTGTCCTTGTTCAGTCCTGGTTCAGTTCTGGTTTAGACCTGGTTTAGTCCTGTTTTAGTCCCTCGTTTAGTCTTCGTTTAGTCCCTTATTTAGTCCCTGGTTTAGTCCTGGTTTAGTCCCGGTCGCGGCTCTGATCTTTTTTCTTGTCTCCGGTCGAGCCTCGTATTTCTGTCCGACCTGAGTCGCCCCAAAGCGGCCTGAGTCTCTGCCCCAGCCCCGCTCCTCCGCCCCGGGACCGTCACCCCGCACAAGAACTGCACCGAACAGCACCGAACCGCACCGCACCGCCAACGGAACCGACGCTTTTACGCACAAAACTGACGCTTTTACGCACGACGCGAGCGGCCCTGGCACATCCGAGCCCCCTCCCGGAGATCAGGGCGGAGCGCAGCCGAGTCACACTCCCCATCCTCGGCCTTCCATCCTCCGCCTGCGCCCCCCGAGCCCCGGGACCCGACTCACGGCTCCTTTACCCGATCCGAATCTTTTACATCACGTCAAAGAGCCGGATTTTCACGACAAAAACCAACGCGAGAACTGATTTTATCCACAAAATAACCAGAGGAAGACACGATTAAAGACCAAAATGTGTTTAAAATGTTGAGCAGCAAAGAAAAAAGATTAGAAAACAACAAAATCCGGTTCCTGCCTTTTAAAAGAGCCGATACCCATCCTCCCCGAACCCGTCCATCCCCGAGACAAAGCGGCTCCAGCGGCTCCAGATCCGCCCCGGAGCCGCCTCGTGTTCCCCCGGACACATCCCCTCCGTCCCTCCGTCCCTCCGCTCTCCAGCCCCGCGGAGGAGGAGACCCCAAACCCGGGCACGAAACCTCCAGATCCCCGCTGGAAAAAAACAAACAAAACCCCCCAGAGCCTCGCGACACAAAAGCCCGAGAGGAGCCGCGGTCCATTCACAAAAATAAACTATTATCGCGTTAGCAGCAGCGTTACGCAGCGGATTCCTCCTCACAAAGACCCGAGCCAGACCCGAGCCAGACCCGAGCCAGACCCGAGATAAACCAGAGACAGACCAGAGCCGGACCAGAGCCGCTCCGGACCGTCCAGGCTCCAGGCGCAGAGAGAAAAAGACAAAAACCTGCGGGATTAAAACACAAATCAAGCGGAAAATCAACGGGACTCAC